CAGTTGTTGCACTGTAAGTCGTTTTTTTGTTCTTAAATAACATACCACATGACGTTGACATGTGAGTTACATGAAAAAGTTCCTTATAAAATAAATTTACCGTATGTTAATGTGTTTTGTACTGTAATTAATGATCATAGAAATAGAACTGTAACACCGACTTCTATAACAATTTGCATTGTTCTAATCAACCACCGTAGTAATTATTTTGTTCTTAACATCTCACGGCCTTTACACACGCAAAGTTTAAAACTGCTATAAACTTTAAGGTCGTTTTGAATTAGAACAATGCTTTTTACTCTAAGCTATTTCTTTCCTTAGTTGTTCGTGTCAAATGTGACGATTGTGAGATTTGAAAAGAATCGCAATGAAAATATTTACAGGCAAATAAGCTATTGATCCATAATTACCTAAGTGGACTTTGTAAAAAATCGGATCTCTGTCTACCTATTTTAGCCAGCAAGCAGCTTTGTAAAATGTTCCGGTTGAAGGCCAGTAAATTACAGGATAAGAGGCATGATATATTAGTCCTTTTGAATAGTAACGCATAAGTGATATCGCTTGCGTCACAGGATAACGTGATGTCATTTAGCAGATAACCTGTCAGCTTGCATGGTATTACTATCGTTACATAGTATAATAACACACAATATAGTATATAATAATAAAAATATAAACTTCAATAAAACAAAGTCGCTGTCGATATCTGTCTCTATGTATGCTTAAATCTTTAAAATAGAGTGATTCAAGAGGAAGGTTTATATATATAATTCATGTACATCCGTGCGAAGCCGGGGCGAGTAGCTAGTTACATATAAAATTAAAAATAAATATAGTTTACAAAAACTAGTATGAATATAAAATATTTAATATTTTAATTAGGTATTATAATCTTTATACCATTTATTATATAGATGAGTTCTGTAATTTCTTAGAGGAAAACCAAATAGATAAAAATGGAATTAACGACAGTTTTTACAATTAGGTGAACTAGGTACATATTTCTGATTTTTTCTATAAAAATGTATTTATTTATTTCTTATATCAAAATAGCTAAAAGAAAATATTAAGTAAATACTAAAAAAGCAAATATTCAAATTTGGCAAAGACCACGGCTACTGTTTATCGTACTATAAGTTACGTAAGCGAAGTTCAGGCGGAAAACTAGTATGTGAACGACTTATTCAGCATCCTAAGATTCTGCTTAATACATCACATTTTTCATCTGCATAACTAAAAAACACCCACTTGCATATTTCATGTGATCGCTTCGGTTTGAAGACTAATAAATCTAGTAAAATTACTATCCACGTAAGGGATTTCATCCATTGAAGTTGAATTCCGGAAAGATGGCGTTTCCATAATATCCATGATAATGCTTGTTTAGTGGATGATTTATCTAAATGTTAAACATAATCGTACTATAACATTCCATAGGACTTGACTCCAGTCAAGCACTGATTTAGCCAGCGTCTGTACATAGGTACCATAGTAATAAAAGAAGTCATCGTAGGGAGAGGATTGTTAGTATTTAGACTTACATTAACAATCGCGCCACATGTAATGCTAGTACTGGCGCCTGGATATCACTGTGGTTAATTCTTGGTGATTTCGGAATGATGGGCTACCTGACCTGACGTGACTTCAAGCTCATCGTATCACTGGAGCCCACTAGCTCATACCTTTAATACAGGCAGACAGTATACAAAAAAAAAACAGAAGTCATCAAATGTTACATAGTACAGACACAGATAATGTAATATTACATAGTACAGATAATAAATAAATGTAAAAATTATACATAAAGAAACGTAATAATTTGTCCTATTGTGATGGTTTATGATTTTATAACAATTGTGTTTTAAATATTACGTCTAATTAAAATAAATTTTGATTTTTCGATTTCAAATACATTTAAGTAAAAATATACATACAGTAATAACAGATATTCAGTTGGTATTGTACCCTTTCAGTAGCAAATTATCATAATATTGAAATTTTCATTTAACACCTTTCCGGTCGTTTATCTTATAACACAAATAGAACCGAAATTTCTCCACGAAAATTAGCATATATTTTACCATTGCTTATTTATGAATTCGATATTAAACGGAGGACTTCAACATAAACGTATTTTACGTGCTTCATTCAATTAGAAAATAAAATAATATATATTTAAAACCGAATTCCTTAAGAATCTGACCATGAGACACAAACCTATTGTCAATATTCCTGCTTGATGCAATTTTTTCTGTACTCATTTTAATACAGGCTGTTTAGTATTAACAGTTGTAGCGAAGGGTCCCTTAATGTCATCTAAGGAATAATTTCGAATTAACTCGTTTGTAAGTAGTATTCAATATATTATATTCTTATTATCGGCAATCACTATATACGGAGTAATCATTGTTTTGTTTATACCCTATTATAATATAACATTACTGGTTTTTATATTGTTTCACATATAGAAACTTAACTATATTACCATTGAGTAACTTAAGCCTGACGTAGATATTGTTTTTTTTTTAATATAAACTTTTATTCTAATGTAAGAAATCCCTACAGTAATACATATGAAATTACAGATTCTATAATCTGCTTCTTAAAATAACCTAACTTACTACCTCTATTGGCATGATACCTTAACCAGGAATAAAACATAAGGAAATATGGCTAACTCATCAGAATTACCACGAGCATCATATTGATGACATGTGTTATTATTCATCTATAGTCACTATATTACACACCAATAAGTTTTAGCTTATTTGTCATAACATAGATTATAAAAAAACTGACCGAAGCCAGGGCCAGTCACTAGTTACCAATAAATGTATGCCTATTATGTGACCAGAATATAAAAGTCTTTATTTTGTACTTTTGCAATGATTGTTTTACGAATGAAATATCAAATTTTTTTTATGAACACGAGTTTGCAACTCGGACAAACTGTAATGCTCAACTGGCATGGCTTGTTTGCAACTTTTGTTGTTACACTCTCGTTATTTAACTAATATACACACAGTTACTTGCTTACTGTATGGCGTACAATACAATTCAGTAAGTTTGTAATAGATTTGTAAAAAAAGAAGATATGTTTATTTGTACTGCATTTTCTGTAACTTTCTCTATTTCTTATTACTAAAAATAATTTGTCGTTATTGGTTCTTTCAGTTTGATTTCGATGTTGCTATTGAAAATATAAGCAGGAAATGTTTTATTACATTATATTCAGTTAAAAGATTATTCTGTGTTAACACGTAACAGATTGCATTTATTCAATTATTTTATATTATTTACAATTATTTATATAGAGGGAAGGTTCTTAAACATCAGTTAATATGGAACCATTCAAAAACATCATATCATTCTAATTATGTTATTTATTATTTTTATTATATATTGTATCTACTACATATTCTTACTATTTTTATTTCTGATGTGTAACTTGAATAACTCTTACCGAATCTTAGCCAAAGGCTTTAACAGCATAATCATAATCTAATTTACTATAATTCATTACTATGGAGCATCTTTTTTATTTATGTCTCTTTTAGTGGATGATGTATTTTGATATATTTTTTAATAATTCAGTAAAAAATAATTGAATGTTTCAAGCTTAAAAATAAAATGCCCTTCGCTTTATTATAAAAGATAATTATCTAACATAATAATATTCGTAGAACCTAATACCTGAACATTCTAAACGCAAAGCCTAATAGAGTAATTTAACTTACTTCTTACCATTTTCCACAAAATAACCAATTATAGCTGACTAAGAACATCTCCCTCGATTTATTTTGATCATTCTAAAGGAATTTATTTGCATCTTTATGTTTCGTAATTGCTCCATCTTCTTTCATCTATTTATGAAATTAATTCTCGCCATTCACGCTACCTACTTATACAAAATGGTCGCTGCTAAATTTAAATATAGAATTGGGGTGTATAACTGTTAATCTGTGTTTATATAAATATAAAATCTTATTGTACAATATATATTATATTCAGGTTATCACTTTACCATAGAACCATAATATCTCCATATCATTAGTCAAATAAATAACATATTTAACTTTTTTTAATTTGAATATTATACACAATGATTTATTTGTTAAGGCTTTTATTTGTTAATAACATTTTTTTTTAATAATTTTAACATATAGTTATCTGTGTGACACTAAACATAAAGCTAAAATTGAATTCTCGCTTGATAACAGGAATGTCAGTTAGAAGAACCTTAGAAATTACGTACATTTTATAGCATTGTATTGTAAGTAAAAATTAACTGGGCCAGAATTTTATTTCCCAACAGAATTATAATTTGCTTGTTTTCAATAAAAAATATAATCTGGTCGTGATAACAATAGGCAACAATTGTATAAAGGTAATCTATCGAAAATATATAATACAGAATAGATGCCTAAAATAAATCTACGAGGCTTATTCGATACAAGGCTTTTGTTCAGTTAAGCATTTACTGAAACTGAGTTAGTTGCTAGTTTTGGTTGAACTATGAACTTTCGAGTGTGATTAGTTTACATTTTACTGAGTTTCAACCAAAGTTGGTTCCGTTTGTTGTCTGGAATCTCATTTCACTTGAAAATGAAAGTGAAATGGCAATTTTATATATACAAATCATAAATAACTTTATCTCTATTCCTTTATGAATATTTATACCTATAACAAAAATATGACGTAGTAGAAATTGGATGTTTTAAAATAAAACTTATGTTACTAAATTGACAGTAGTAGTAATACAACTTAATTACGAATAATACATTTAATTATTAACATAACTTTCGTTGAAAAAAATATGTAAGAAAAGACTACGACAGAATACCAGAGAGGGTAGTTTCCTTTTTCCTACGTCGTGGACTATTTTGTCTAAATTGGTAATTTTGTTTTCTCCAGAAATTGGTATGCATACATCAAAGACAATAAAAAATATTTATTATTATTGCTAAATTATAATAATATAATATATACTCTACACTTACCAAATAATAAACTCCAAACGGCATAACAACTACGGCGACTAGAAGATCAGCAACGGCTAAACTCACTATAAAGTAATTGGTCACAGTTTGAAGTGTTCTCTCTCTCACAACACTCATTATCACTAATACATTCCCGAATAGAGTAAAAAATGGAAATATTAATAACAATAGCGCCCAAAGGTTATACTCGGGTGCCGATTCTGCTTTATTGAAGCACGAAACATTGAAAGTGCCGTTGAACGAACAATTCGCATACTCATATACATCGTTTAATACATCTAGAGTAGCATTATGTTCACTAAATATATCATTACTTGCATTTCCATAGAAGTAATCACTAAAGTCTTCTACTAACATCATAAAATTTCCATTCGTGCTATTCGTACCATTTCTATAGTTTACTTTCTGAAATGCTTGTCTTGTCTTAACTATTATTGTATGGTTTTCTTCTATTTTTACGTCATCGGGGGGTCGTTTTGACGGATATAGGTATGTTGTTGAGCTATGGTAGGTAGTTTTATAATAATATGGCACTTGTGTTGAATTTGCCATAGTTCTCCAGTCTAGCCTTACCCCACTATGTGACGTTTGCTTCATTTTCTTTATATCTTTGGTGTATTATCATGTCTATAGATGCTAATTTAATACACTCACGATATATTTTCTATTCTTGTTAACATGATTGTCACTGATCTGAAACAATAATAAAGGAAATTTACTATTTAAAATATTATTCCTTATTGTACTAAATTTTAAACGCACAGTACCTATATTTAAAACATCCTAATGTTAGTCTAACAATTATTATGAATTGAAATTATTTTATACGTATTTAAATTGCTCAATAAGTCGACCATCCACCTGACGGAAAATGGTAACTATTGTCTGTGTATATACAATATATCTGATATACTTAATCATTATATTTAGGTTTTTCTACACCTTAAAATCTCTGATATCAATATTTATATAAAAACTTTATATTAATAATTACCAATGTACTAAATAAATATAATTAAAATCTGCGGGAATATCCAAAAATACATGAATTCATCATCAATCATACCTTTTACCGTAAAATATCATTCTAATCACGACAGCTGATGTTCATCTCAGAAGGTCTTTTTTCCTTTAATCTCTGTAGTCAATTTAAAATGATTGATAGAGGAAAAATCAGTGACGTACAGTACTTTTACATGAAGCTATTCTTGCGTGATTAATCATCTGACAATTTTTCATTTTAATTATTATGTTGACATAATAATTTAATAATTTTATAAATTTAAAAACTTTGTGATATGATATAATGGTGACAGTAAATGTGTCAGTATGTTGTAAAATTATTCAATTTATAATAAATAAACAAACATACAAAACTGACGTATTACAATGATGTTACTATTTTTCCTCGATATCATGGAATAAATTGTAAAATTGTTATTTGTTAAATTAATAATATTAATATCGCTGTGTAATTTACACAACGCCCTCCATTTCCTAAGCTAAGCAGAGTTTGTGTTGTGTACTAGAGAAATAATATAAATGCTTAAATATTTTTTTTTGTATTTACATAATATTCATAGAAAATACCAGACAATTACATATAAACGTATTCATTACTTAAAATGTTTATACAATGCGAGGAATCATCAGAATTGTTAAAACCACAAAGTCCTAAGGGTTAACTAAAACACTACACTCGTGTATATAAGGTTTATTGGTCGGTTTCAAATACAGGTACAAGTACTAAAATATTACAACTAACATATGAGAAATCAATAAAGTGAAACATTAGCGCATTTCAATTTTGTTACAGCGCCATCTATTGGCGTTGAATGCAAACACTATTGTTTCACTGATTACAATCTATTTAAACCTTAACAAAAATTAAGGCGGTGTGTGTGTCAAATTAATAATCCTATTCTCTATTTAACAATACAATATTAGTAATAGTGGGGCTATCTAAACTCTAATTATAAAAAGCAAAGAATATAATTTTCTTCATAAGGAAAGTAAGTTCTCAAACCACTAAACCGATTTGTGATAAGTATTAGTTCAGCGGCATGGGCGACATTTTGTGTTAAAATATGAAATTTACAAAGTTATGAAGACCTATTTACTCTTTTTGAATAAGTTAGTTATGTCCAAACAAAACAGAGATTAAATATATGCTCGTAATTATTCCTTGCTAATAATCCAATTCTTTATCGTTTCATTGCATAAATTGTATATATAATACACTCTACATACTTGTACATAACATTATTCTACTCGAATTTCATTACCATCATTCTATTACAATAACATTCGAATTCTTATAACAAAATAATAATCATGCCACAATTGCTTTATGAAATTCAGTTAGCAATACGATTTTCTGGATAACTATAAACGGCATTATGTTAATGTGAACGGCTATTCGAGACTTTGATGGATTTGAAGCTCTGAGAACTCTTTTGTTGTCAGTTTACGGGTGTTTCAAGCAGATCGCCCCATAAGCGTATTGTGAAAAGAAAACGTGACTAGATTTCCATTTATTCGAGTTCTTTTATCTTTACAGAATAAATATTATTGAAATCGTATTTTTATAATATACACATAGTATTATTAGCCCTATTGTTAGCAAAATAGCCTGATCTGTTAACTTATATGGTCTGCAATAATCATCATAGTTGTGGTTGTGATTAATGGGATCTGTATTCTGTAGTTTTTTTTTTGTTGCCAGGTAATTATTCTTGTTAAGACCCGGTTAATAATATAAATAATCTGTATTCTGATTTCTAACTTTACTGGTGCCTGTCATAATACCTCAATCACCCATTAATATCAAAATTATGTAGCATATTATTTACAAAACATAAATATAAACAATAAAATATAAATAGAAATAAATTCAGTTCAACAGTAGTAGAGAGGAAAATAAGATGGTTTTTAGAGAATATACGTGCAAGTAAGTTAACTCTGTTTGAAGTGCCACAAATAAAAAAAAAATTGCGTAATTTTATAACTGATTGATAACACATGTCATTAATCTGTATAATTTATTACTTACTACTTTGATATTAATAATAAAATAATATTTCTCATGTATTACCTACGACTAAAATTTTGGTTCTGGTGTTTCATGTACTCGTATTCATATTGGATAAACCTTCTTACTTGGTTGACCTACTTTAAAACGACTCATATTAATTTGCTAACGATCTTTAGAACATACTTTGAGTACCAGATAATTAATATAGTTTGTTAATAAATCCTCTTAACAATAAAGTGAAAATTAAATTTATTTAATTACATGAAGGTTATGATGATTTAATTTGAAATATGTGGTGCTCATTTTAATTTGGGACGCCTGATATTTTTTCTACTCTGCCCAGTTTTTTGTTAACGACATTTTAATTATGGTCGTATCCGAAAGTAGGTGCTATCAAAACATCATTACAGATGCTAACAGGGTACTCTTGTGAGAAGATAAGGGCAGTATTTTGCGTAGGAAATGTTTTGATTTATGTTTTGTTTCCGAGAATTGTTGAAGTACAATTTCCTCAGAAGTGCTTGCATTGGATTGGAGCATCAAACTTGTATTATTGGTGGATCTATGAAAAGGTTTTTATCTATAACTTTCCTTTAGGCATGAAATTTCATAATTATTCTGAAGAATTTTAAGTTAAATAGCTCACTGACAAGTTAATTAATACCGTGTTCCAAGGTTCTGTAAAGATAAAATATTACAAACAATCCTTATCAGACATCGAGTTTATATTTATACCTATACATTTCAGAAAACATTGATTTCAAAATGGGTTTTATATGCCTAATTATAATCAGTATAATAAGTGTAATGTTGTGGGAATATTATATATTTTTACGTGTTAAGAAAAGTTAGCATACCTATTCTTAATCACGTATTGATGAACTTTTTTATTTATGTAATTAGAATATCTGACAGCCCTCCAATAGTAAACCGCAAACGGTCCACATAAATGAACAGCACTACGGACAGCACATTACTACGTAAGACAGGAGATATCATTCATGCGTGATCATTTTAGAGGACTAACATGCCATATAAAAGATATGACATGTTGTTATATCAGTTACAGAAGTTATAAGTTTATCTATATAAAATAGTGCCTTTTACACTTTATATAATTCCCTGTCCTGGAGTCCCTTTGGAAAACATAGTCCTAAATAGACCTAATATAAGATGACACTTCTTATATGTTTATACTTGTACGTATAGTTGACTAGGACTTCTTGTTATATTGATCGACTGTCCCAGTGGACAGCGTCCATGTTGATGGATCGTCTATCTGCACGTCATTAGACTCTAATTCGCACTTAGAAGTTCGGGTCAATGTCTATTACATAGCGGACTTTGTTGAATACAGTTTATCCGACGATTAACTTGTAACATTAATCTTCTCTTTTCTTTTTTCCTTTTTTTTATCACTAACTAGTGATCCGTCGCGACTTCGTATGGTTACAATTATTAGTAGTGCCCTATATTTTTTTAAAGTAGGAATACATCTACTTTTTCTCATAATATTGTTTTCTGTAGGCAGGCAGGAGAATTGTTTAAATCTATTAAGCATTATTGAAGTCTATTATTTACTATACAAACAAATAAAATCTTTCATTTTAATATTTCATTTACTCTTTCATTTTAGTAAGTACGTAAGAAAATTAAACATAAACAGACACTTTATATGTTACCTACATACGATTATAAGATGTAAGATTCTACAAGTACTGTAAAAGAGGCAGATCAAACACAGGACAGGCAAAGAAAAGGCATCGGTATAGTCACAAATGTTGTATTGATGTCATATATGTAACTAATGTCATATATGTAAAACAATATAGTTATTATAAAGAAATATAGATAATAAAAAAATATATAAAACAGTTTTCAACAAGTACATTATGAGATTGAACTCCACGTGGTCTTCTGTTGAAACCCCAGTGGTTTATACCTAACCATGACTAACCATGTGAACGGTTGTTGTGTTTTTCCTTTCTTGACTAGTAAAAGATTTGTATGAAACATCAATGAGGAAAAATTATGAACTGTCATAGCGACTTTATAAAGAACATCTTGTTATAAGCCAT